TGCAAAGTTGCTTATAGTCAATAGACTAGGGGGGGCCATGAAAATAAAATGTAACAACATATAAACATTGCATTTTTTTTTTCAGTTGAAATTATTAACTAGCTCACATCAAAATTAATATTAGCCTCACAGGAAACTCAAATAACACTCCACACCTAACCACTTACAAGATGTAGTAACATACTGTGCAGATCTTAAATAAACAATGTCAAGATATATAGTCCATTATAAATGTAAAAAATAGATTTTATATGGTGTTCATTGTGTTATAAATAATCATAATCTTAAAACTTATAACCACAAATGTGTAAGCATTATAATGTATTATAATTGTTGTTATGATTATTTATAAGATGATATAACATATTATAAGGTATTTTATAATGCATTATTCATTCATTATAATGCCTTAAGAATACCCTTATAATGTGTTATAAATATGGGCTTCATAGAAAGTGTTACCGTAAAATTTTATTTGAAAAAAAATCCAATCTGTTTTGTCATTGAATGAGCATACTATAGTGCAAATTAAATGAATACAAAAACACTAAGAACTACTCAGGAAGATCATTTATAAATGAAGGAAAATATCAGAATATTTAAAGTGTCTACACTACAACAGCTCAAGGCTGTCTACACTGGAAGCAAAAAGGCGACTGTTGCAAATCCATTAGCCCTTCGTTTCAGAAGTAGTGTGAATGCTAAATTGATCCCTGCATACAACTAAACATTTTAAAACATTTGTTCTTTAATAAATTAGCCCTGGGTGTTGCATAATGATGCAGATATTTTTTAATTAAAATTTTTATTTAGAAATTTAAAAAAAGCTTTCGTTAAAAGCAAACTGTTCAAGTGTCAGTTAACAAATAGTATTTAAATAGTATCCCCCCCAAATACCAAACTGTACCAAAATAGGGACCACAAAATATACAGAACTGTACAAAAACAGAGACCCCAAAACCACAATACGTACCAAACCATGAGAACAGTTACACCCCTAATGTTTACATGCATGAAGAATATGCGATCTCTGAACCTGCAGGATGATGTCATAGAGTCGTATGAGGTCCTGTGGTCGTGGTCCTCTCTTGTTCTCATCAGTCTGTGGCTCCTTCAGTTTAGCTTGCAGCGCATGAGCCATGCTCTCATTCCTCCTCACCACAGTCCACAGTTTGATATATGTCAGGTAGCTGCACAAAGAATATGTATATCACCACATGACTGTCAGGAATCACAACATAAGTAGTTAAGTAGAAATGACTGCTGTTTTTTTCACCAGTTGTCATACTAACCTGTGCAGGTATTGCAGATTAGACACCTTGCCACTATCGGCACCTTCTGCTGCTCTCTCTCTCTGCTTCTGTTTTGGCAAAACACAAAACACACATCCCTTTATGTTGAACAGTTTTATTTATAATTTTTTTTACATTATAGGTTTTGGATGTCAGTGTTTGTCATTAGCTAGACTGTGAGGAAAGCGATATTTGTCGTAGTATCCTTTCAACTGTTATGGGGATTTCCGATGACAACGATGTTCAATGTATTTGTTGGTTGAGTCTTTAAAAAGTGCTATTAAAATTAAAAAAGGTGCTATTAAAAGTAAAAATAATGTCCTTTTTTATAACCTTGTTTCAGTCCTTTTTATATATAAAAGTATTTGCTACTGACTCACTCATGAAGACAGTCTAACCTCCACTGAAGTCAGAACTACCATCACTAACAGACCATTTCTAATCAGAAAATACTATTATTAAATACAATTTATATAAAATATTATTTATTGAACAATAATATTTAATAAAGCAACAATATCCATTATAAACGTTGCTAAGCAATTCAGTCAAAGGCAGCGCTCTGATTTAGCATTAAAGTTATAATATAAAAATATAAAGTTATGAAACATTGCCCTCAGACAAAATTATAAATTAATTATTGCTCTGGAACAAATAATAAATTAATAGAGACTAAAGATTGCCCGCTCGGTATACCCAAAATGACACTCACTGTCAGAAATGCTGCAAGCGGAGTGATAAACAACGGTCCCTGTGGTGATGCTGGAAGCATCTGCATGGCTGGAAAGACCGCACAGCCAATTAGATTTGAGGGCCAGAAGTAAGTGTTATGTGTATAAATATAAATATATATATATATATATATATATATATATATATATATATACTGTTCTCTGTTTGG